CATTTAAGGCTTTTTACAAAACATAACTTTTTATTCGCCATAATTGATTACTTTTGCTTTGCACTCGATTCCGCGAAGGAATTTTCTAGTCTATCTATACTGGTGGGAACACAAGCTGAAAAACGGATTCTTCTTGTCGAGACGTTAATGATGACCGTGACTTTTCTTTTTTATCTTGTCGTTACTTGGATGACTGCCTGCCACACACGGAGACTGTTTGATCTGCAAAAAGAAAAAGAATCAATGCAGTGTAAGACAATGATACACAGTGCAGTGCAGTGCAATGCAATATTTTATTGTAAACGACACTTGGCTTGGCGCTCGCTTCTAAGGGTTCTACAAAATTGTGTGTAAAATAGGCACAAAAGTTAATGACTACCCAAGAAAGGAATGAAAAAAAATGCTTACTCTTAACCAGCAATTATGGCTTTTTCAGCTATTTTGAAGAGTGTATGAGAAGCCAACCCAAGGTGCTTGTCCAAGGCATTATTTGAAATCTCGTTCACGTGTCCTAAGAGTAGGATCGGTAAATTCTCGGACATAGCATTCTACATTTTGAAACTTCTTGTTTGCTCGATTTCCTCAATAGAAGAATCACTGGAAACATTTCCGCACTTTCTCCTCGTTTAAACCGCTTTCTTGTTGGCTGATCTAATATTTTTTTTACATCTACATCTACGCTTAGTTAAGTCGGTAAAAATCGTGAGATATTAAACAGACTATAAAAATCTCAATAAAAACGATACAAAGGGATATAAAAAATTAAAAAAAAAACAAGAAAACAAGAAAAACTAAAAAAGAAACTAAATAAAACTAATAAAATGGAATATTAATAACTATTAACTAACTTTGGTTTAAAACTATCTACGGACGTCGTATTCACAATATCCTCAGGAAGAGAGTTCCATTCATGAAATGTTCGTGGGAAGAAAGAAAACTGAAAAATATCTTTATTTGCTTTAGCAACTACAAACTTAAAAGCGAGGCTCCCACGGGTTCTTCTTTCGCTATTTATATGGCTCTTTCCCGTGTTTTTCGTTATGTTTGCTCACCTTAAGGTCGATGACTGGCGAAACAACGCAGCAAACCAAGTTTTTAAAAGCAGGCTCTCGAGTATGCCCCCAGCCTCGTCCACAATACACATTTTCAATTTTAGGAAAGCCATGAGGACAATTTCCATCTTCCTCGTTATTCTCAGCCACCAGACAAGCTGCCCAGTTGGTAGTGACCTCATTAGCAAAATCACCAACACAACGTCCCGTCACTTGGCAATCTGAAACGTAAATGGGTTATTTTGTTGTCAAAGCGAACAAACGAACGGGAATTAACTAAGTTGATAGATAAGACTACTATTTTGATTTACATGAAGTAGGTAAACTACAGTCGATCATTTCTCTTCAAGGCATATTTGATATTTAATTCGTTAGGCAATCGAAATATCATTCCAGAATAGTTTTGGGTAAATGCAGTGAAAGAAGACGTAATGCGTGGTTTTTGTATAACGTTTACAAAACATGTACTTATCATCTTCATTTAATCCTTTGTTGTATAATTTAATGTTAGTGTATAATGCTGAAGTTATAAACGTTTTATTAAAAACTGAACAACGGATGTCAGATTTCCAGCAGTTTCATTGGCTCGCCGAACACAGGCTATCAGCTCATATAAATGCAATAACAAATATGGTCAATGAACGGATCAGCGAATAAAGAAAGCTGGATGAAATCCGGAAGCCAATAAAACGTGGATCGTCTCACAGCGGAATTAACGAATAGAAATGCTGACACTGGAAACGAAATACAAATCGAATTTAGCTTTTCATTGCTAGGTACTCGAATGACAAAGGGCAGTGCTGGCATCGTGGTCAAAATATTTTTCTTGTAGCCCTGAGAAAATTTTCCAAGCTGTCGATGTTCAGTTTATCGCAAAACGCACTTTTATTTAAGCTTGCTGAAATGCCGCAAGAGTTTATGAACTTAACTAAACGAAATGGAAAAAATGTATTCAACAACAAGTGTCACAAGTCTATAAATATGCTCATCGGCTAGTGAACCTACTCAAAACAAATTGGACAAACAACAACTTCAGCTTAAGTTTACAGCAGCAATCTTCTGAGGAATCGGCATTTTTGAAAACTTGAAATTAACTCACATTAAAGATTTTCTTTTACCTGCACTCCATGCAACGTATCAATCCTCAGCTTCAAATTTTCAATTCTTACAAATAGGATGTCTTGTAAAAATGAGAAGAATCGCTGTTGTCATTGTTTTTGTTATACTCTTCTACCACGGGTCCAGTTTTTGTGCTACGCATCAGACAAATTTCAAGAAGCCATTTCGTGAAGCATAACCAGATATTTCCCTTGCTTATCCCTCCAATATCTTGTTTCTGACAGGTTTTAGTGTGGCAATGTTCCAGTTCATCACGAAATTTTGGCATGATGACAAAATTGATAACTTTGAACGAGCGATTGATAACTTGGAACGATTGATTGTTCGAGACACTTTGGAACTCTGTATAGTGTTCTTTTCGAGGAGCACATTGTTTTACACGAAGTGTAATATAACGATTTAGCGAGGCCTAAAAGAGGAGCTCCCGGGTTATTTGGTCTAACTGGGTTAAAAACAACAACACTCTTTTAGTCGACGATAGTTAGAATTCCTAATTTTCAAATAAAATAGGTCTTAAACTTCTTGCCAATCAAACATTTTCCAAAAAATCAAACTTAGAAGTAAAATTTTATTATAATTAACGGTGAAATTGATCCTGTTGTCAGATGGGCAAATTTGAAATGCGAGGATTTCGGCTTGTTTACGTAGATCGACTGATTACGAAATTCCGTGAATTAACACACTCAGAAAAACAGACGATAAAATTCCCTAAATAAAAAGGTTATATAGGTAAGCCTGTACTGTTTATGCTTGAAAAGCAAACACGTTCAATTTTCGTCTCGAGTAAATCTACGCCAAGGCGAAGAAAGCGAATTGCGCGTCACTTTGATGTACAACTCGACCTGACCCAACTGAGCACGTTTATCACAAATTTCGCTAAAGTTGTTCGGAATACAATCGGTTAATTAAAGATAAAGCACGGTAAAAATTCACATTCAAAACTATAATATTTTGCAAGGTGTTTTCCCAGAAGCGCTCATACATTTCGTGGAAAGTCTACAATTCTTGTGATGATTCGCAATAATCAGTGAAGGCACTTGTCTTTTTGTTTCTGGTCTTCTGTCATAGCTCTTCCAGAAATCATACAAGTTCATTACTCAAAATTAAAAACCTTCTAAAGATATGCCAAAAATTGCAATACAGAGCAAAAAGTAGGTCTAAACAAATAAACACTCAGCTTTAAGTTTATATCCCTCCAAAGGTGCATGACTTAATAACTGCGTGGCCACCAGTGTGGTCCTGATCACAGCTATATATGTCAAACCTGTTCTGGATTAGAACCGGCGAAAAATGCAGGAAAAAAAAATTCCTAACCGTTTTCCACCTAAACACGACAAGCGTCGACTGTGAAGAGCTTTAGTTCACGAAGCATAGCCGTGTAGCTGCGTCGAGTCGCAGAAAGCGATCGAAAAATTAAGCCTCGTCTTAGTTTAGGTGTCCTGATCACAATAAGTTAACCTAAC